TAAAAATCGTCGGAGCAATTTCTCCAAGTACCCTTTACGCGTCTTTACCGATTTAAAAACACCAGAAATTCGACCCGAATCGTTTCGACTCCACCCAAAATAAATTTCTCTTAAAGAGATCAAAAAGAAGAAGAAGAAAAAGAGAAAAGGAAGGAAAAATACGGTAAAGGAAAGGGACATAAAAAAGCAAGTGGAATCCTGGAATATAATGTAAAAACGTCGATGAGCCACGCCTGAGATGGAAAAATTACAGCGGCTGAAAGAGCAACTTATCGCGTAGCCTAACCGATATTCGAGGCGTCGATGATTCGTCGCCGGTGAAACTCGAATATTAACCAGGTGACTCACGATATTGTTAATTATGTTAATGGACGGTGCACGGTCGTAAATGACAACGCGCGTTCGTCTGGCATGGGGATATTTGGCGGAAGAAGGGAGGTGGTTCGCGGTAATTCGGCCTGATTCCATTGGAAAGCGCCATAAGCCGACGGACACGTGGGAAATTCCAAACGACGTCGTTAGCGTGATGGGACACACTTACTCGCGAGACGCGGCGGCTTTCTGCGCTTAAGTCCCTCTTTCATTACGTCTTTCTCTCTCTTCTTTCGCGACCGCCTTTTTTAATGACCGAATTAGCGCTGGTAAACGCGCGCCGCGCCATTTTGCATGTCCTCGGTGCGCAGCGATCTTTAATCGGGATAATCAGCGATGGCAGAAACGACGGCCGAGAGTCGATTTATCCTCTGGAATACTTTTCACCACGCGAGTTTCGTCCGCGAAGAATGTCATGACAGATACACACTTGAGATCCGAGAGGCTTCGGGAAAAATTCATCGCGATAATATTTACCATTTCAGTTAGAGTGCTCGAGATTGGGAATGAGAATTGGAATAGACTGGTCAAGGAAATCTGTCAGTATAATTAATTTATGGTTGGAACGAGACACGAAGTTTGGAGACAATAGACACGTCATATGCAAACCCTAATACGGGTTATCGCTTTCGGTGATAACTATCGCGATTATGCTAGAGTAGACTGGTCAAGGGAATCTGTCAATATAATTGATTTATAATTGGAATGGACTGATTACTCGTACCATTGATTTATTATATAATTGGAATGAGACACGAAGTTTGTGGACAATAGACAGGCCACATGCACACCCTAAACTGAGTTATCGTTTACGGTGATAACTATTGCGATTATACTGGAATAGACTGGTGAAGGGAATCTGTCAAAATAATTGATTTATAATTGGAATGGACTGATTACTCGTACCATTGATTTATTATATAATTGGAATGAGACACGAAGTTTGTGGACAATAGACAGGCCCATGCACGCCCTAATATGAGTTATCATTTTCGGTGATAACTATCGCGATTATGCTAGAGTAGACTGGTCAAGGGAATCTGTCAATATAATTGATTTATAATTGGAATGGACTGATTACTCGTACCATTGATTTATTATATAATTGGAATGAGACACGAAGTTTGGAAACAATAGACACGCCACATGCACGCCATAATAAGGGTTATCACTTTTAGTGATAACTATCGTGATTATGATAGAGTAAACTGGTCAAGGGAATCTGTCAATATAATTGATTTATAATTGGAATGGACTGATTACTCGTACCATTGATTTATTATATAATTGGAATGAGACACGAAGTTTGTGGACAATAGACAGGCCACATGCACACCCTAAAATGAGTTATCGTTTACGGTGATAACTATTGCGATTATACTGGAATAGACTGGTGAAGGGAATCTGTCAAAATAATCGATTTATAATTGGAATGGACTTGTTGCTCGTACAACTGAGTTATAATTGGAATGAGACACGAAGTTTGGAGACAATAGACATGCCACATGCACACTATAATAAGAGATATCACTTCGGTTGATAACTGTCGCGATTATGCTAGAGTAGACTGGTCAAAGGAATTTGTCAATATAATTAATTTATAATTGGAATGAGACTCTAAGTTCAAAGACAATAGTCACGTCATATGCACATCAGGGTTATCACTTTCGGTGATAACTATCGTGATTATGATGGAATGAACTAGTCAAAGGAATCTGTGAATATAATCGATTTATAATTGGAATGGACTGGTTGTTCATACAATTGATTTATAATTGGAATGAGACACGAAGTTTGGAGACAATATACATGCCACATGCACACTATAATAAGAGATATCACTTTGGTTGATAACTGTCGCGATTATGCTAGAGTAGACTGGTCAAAGGAATCTGTCAATATAATTAATTTATAATTGGAATGAGACACGAAGTTTGGAGACAATAGACAAGCCACATGCACACCCTAATATGAGTTATCATTTTCGGTGATAACTGTCGCGATTATGCTAGAGTAGACTGGTCAAAGGAATCTGTCAATATAATTAATTTATAATTGGAATGAGTCACGAAGTTCGAAGACAATAGACACGTCACATGCACACTCTAATAAGAGTTATCACTTTCGGTGACACGTATCGCGATTATGCCCTAAGAGTTACACATACTATCGAATTTCAATAAGAAAGTTGAAACTGTCAAGGTTTATCGAAATTTTTCAGCAAAACAGGCCTGAAGCTCGAATATTTAATGAACAAACGCTTGAAATAGGGGTAGGTTGCAAGCTTCTCTTCTGAGTAGAATAATGATCAGATTTCTGGTATGTCATGACACACAGCTCGTAAACTTTATAAGTCGTAGAGATAGCATAAACTACTCCTCATCATATTGATTCAATGAAAATATTTATTCCGTTAATGTAGACAGTCAAAATGCCAAGTGACAGCGTTAAAACAAATGGCGACCAAGAGTGACCTCTCTCGAGCAATGTTTCAAAACTATTTGACAGCATCTTGCATTTCCTCGAGTCCCCTGATCTAAAATCGAAATGGAAAAGACCAGTTGTAGTCTGAAAATTCGAAGACAAGACGTCCATAGAGGTACACCGTGGAACTGTGTTAAGATGAGAGCCTGGAGGCTGCAACCCATCCGTCGATCAATCATACCCACTTGACAGAATCCGAAAGAAGCAGACACCACGAAGGAAGGAAACGCAAGAGCATGGTCCAGGGATTTTTCGCGATGCGTCGGCTTTCGAATGGCGATGCCTGCGCGCGATTAGAGGCCTGAACCCGGCGGCAGGCGTCGGGCCCGGCGTCGTCTCGGAAATGAAAGTGCGCCGCGAGTTCTTCCCTGAATTTCGTGACGAAAAAGGATCACTTACGCGATGCCTCCGCTAGAAAGTCGAGTGGACGTCGGCCACGTCGTGGTACTTTGATCTTTGCGGGCAGAGATGGAAAAATATCGCCTGGGCCGACGCTTGGCCGGACACCTAGGGGATTAATTATTCGTCTCGGCTGCGACGGACTGGTCTCCGCGGAGCGATTAGCCCGGATTTTTGTCGCGCGGCGATTAGCATTCGAAAATGTTAAAACCGCCGTTAGTTACGACACGACGCGGTGCAACATAAATTTCCGCGTCGCGAACCGGCGGACCGTGCATGGCTAAAGCAGCAAGCAATTTTGTGGAAGCCACGCGACCACGGTTGGCAAACCGCTGCCAATGCGTAACCAGGAAGCTCGGTCCCTGGCTTCAGCGACAGTCGTTTAAATCGCGCATGTACCAGCAATGGCGAGTTTGAGGGTCGCTCTGGGGGTTACTGGTCGGCTGAAATGTTAAAGAGAAAGATACATCGAGGTTTTCATCGACATCAGTCTCTGGTTCAGAGGTCTGTCGACGCGGATGGGGCATTGCGTAAGATGCTATTTATGTAAGCTTTTAACTTTATTGCACCGATGTTTGCGTAGCTCGGCTCGAAGCTTTCACGAGGACATCCCGATTCGACAAACTGTTCGCGTAATTCGGGGCTATTTATGATTCCGCGTGGAGAATCTGAATATTTTATTTGACAGATCTTTGGGGAAGAATCGCAACCGAGTAAGAAACTTGCATCGGAGCTGATGGATGATAAGGTTCTCGGTATTTTAGCAAGTGCTCGTTGAGTTTTACTTACTCGGGGATTTCACAGACACGATGATTACGAGTGTGAGCCACGAAGATTACAGAGTGTCAGAAATGTCGGAGTTTTTGCAAAGTTGGCAGAAAATAGCGATTTGGTTGCTACGAGAGAGGAGAAAGCGTTGGCAGAAACGCGTAGACTGTATGAAAAGTTCCATGCAATGTCTCGGACTTTTCTAGTCGCTTATGGCAACTCCGCTCACGACCGCGGGCGGTCAAGCGTTGATAAAAAGCGACGCCTAGGAGGGAATAAAAAAGCAAGTGCCATAATTGAAACGCGTCGTCTTGTCTAGTTTCTTTGAATATTCCTACCGACACTACATAGAACACAGTGATTCTAGCAGAATAGCTGTTGTCACGTTCGCGAGCGGTCTAGACCTGCAAAAACCGATGCTGACGTTTAATAAAGTTGCAATCCCATTTGGCATACTCGCCTATCTGTTCGATAACTGCAAAAACCGGCGGAACAATTAATTCTCGGCATGTAGATTAAACCTCCTGGGAAATAAAATCATCGACGTGCTTCTAAATACATGGCGCTTGGCTAGACACGGTAGTCGATCAATGAACAATCCCCTTAGCGCTGTCAAGCTCGCAATACTCGTTTTCTCATATTCCCAATCTCAAACCACAAACATCAAAATCAAAATCAGACTACTGTATCTCATATGACACCCCATTCGCCTTGGACCAGTCGAAGACAACCCTCTGAACCCTGTCAGACTCTGATTACTCGTCTACGTCGAGAGCTATACTCCATACGCACCAAATCTCTGTCAACATCTAATTCGCCTTAAACCAACCAGAAATAGACCTCTATGGAATACACATACTTCAATCCACATCTAAATACGTTAGATTTAAGCTTTCTTGATTCTAGATTCTGTCAAATTGCCAATTCGTCGTAAACCAACCAAGATTAAGTCTCCATGTAAAATCTGACTGTTTCAGGTGCAGGAGGGGCCAGTGTCTCCGGCGTCCTCCTCGCTGAGCAACCAGAATCAAAACGAGAGCGAGCAGCAAGTGCTGCTGGCAACTATGCAGCCGGTGAACGTGCTGGACCTGCACGAGCCGCCAGCAGTGCACTCGCTCCACCCCAAGTACCATCATCACCACCACCGTCACCATCACCATCACCACCATCACCATCATCAACAGCAACAGCACATTCAGCCGGACCCGGACGACGTGCAGCAACGTACCACCGACGACCCGGATGGCAGAGTGACGCCTGGCGCCGACGCAGCGGCTGCCAACTCGACGCTGGGCGTCGGCGAGCACAAGATGATCGACCTGATCTACAACGACGGCCAGAAGACCGTCATGTACACGCACGACAAAGAGATCATCTACGAGAACGAAGCGGACCGCGTGCAGGTGGTCGAGTACCCACCGCCGCCACCCTCGCCACCCTCGCCCTCGCCACCCTCCGCTGTCACCAGGGCCGGCCTGCTGCCACCCACTTGCGTCACACCCAGGTCAGGCTCGGCCACCACCGCGTTGCACCTGCACCACTACCCCCAGCTGCAGTTGCAACACGAGGACGACCTCCCGCCAGGCGTCCGTCACGCTGTCAACGCCACCGTCCCCAATTGCGGCGCTGCTACTACCACCACCACAGTCTTGGTCCTCTCCGAGCTGGTCGCAGCGGACCCCGCTGCTGGCGCCGCCGCTGCTCAACAACTCACCCTCACCGCCGCCGCTGCTGCCGCCTCGCTGCGTGCCGGGTAAGTGTTTTCATTCTATTCTGTCAATTGGCAGACTATGCGTGCCTCCTTCGACGAGAAAAGGCGGGAACATTAAACGTAATCTGTACCCCAGTCGAATTATTACTAGAAATTGTTGCTAAAGGCTGGGATATTTTTAAGGACCCTCATGGAGGGTCTACTCTCTGTCAATCTATTCTCTGTTCATTTGTAGGCATCAGGACATTGTTTATCTTTATTTCCCGCCAGTTCTCGCTGAATGGAGTATAGGAATACTCCGGCTTACGAGACAAGGTAGAAGTAGACGGATAGTCCAATCGATATGGCCGTGTTTGAAATGATCCTTTACTCATGGTCTCAGCAACAAGTACTTAGCTAGAGTTGCACGTTGGACCTGTCCTATTCGCGCAATTGATCTTATTTTCCGCCTCGTCTCGTTGTCGAGGGAGCATAGGTGGAGGTGTCCGGCTATCGAGTCTCTCGATCCGAGAGAAATCGAAGATCGGAGCTGATCTCTGATCCCCGGTCGTTTAAACGCGGCTGATATTTAGCCACGGGCTGAGATTAGGATGTAATATGAAGTTGTTTGCACGCGTTGATAAAGATACGAAGATTGCAGTGTCGGGGGACTGCGAGAAAGTGCCTTTGAGAACACGTGTGGCAATCACGATTGAAAATCGGATTTCGTAAGCGCCGAAGTTACAACGGCTACTTGGCTAGTTCTCTTGTTCTTGGCACATGAATATACACATCGCTTTATTATGGTAATCACCGATTCCCCTTTGCATCCGCGCGGCTGTGTTCACTTTTCAGTTCCGTTCGAATTTATTGCGCCTGTTATTCCGAAAAGCGTTGTCACATTATACGAGCCCGACCTAAATCGAGATAGGACGCCTGCATCGAGTAAAATGTCAGCGAACGAGATACGCGCCTAAGCCTGCACGGGTCCGGATACTTGCATCGAAAATTCGAACAAAGGAAAATCCTCGGAAATATCGACATTCGTTCCATAGATCCTTCGAGCTAACTTTCGCGCGTCGACTTGACCAAAACACTGTCATTATTCATGATGAAAACAAGACAATCTAGGGTTAATTTAGGGATAATTTCGGTCCAGGAAGGAACTTTATGATAAGATCCTCTGTCACGACGAATCTTGACGAGTCAAAAATCGCGATCATGTTTATATACACGCGTCACGATTACTCCATCTCTATTCGCTGTCAAACAAAATTTCTCTTCGAGGAACTCACGTTCCACCAAAGGGGAGGAAGTATTGCGAGAATTTAAAGAGGCGGAAGAATAAAATTCCCCGTAATAAAAGTAAAGAAAAAAAAAAAAAAAATGGCGGAAAAATAAAATTTAATAAAAATGGCGAATAATAAACGGTTATCGGAATGGAAAAACAAAACGGAAGAAAGGGAAACGTTATCGAGGAGAGGTTAACGAGCGGGAAAAATGAAATTCCCATAACAAAAGCAAACAAAAAAAAAGAAAATGGCGGAAAAATAAAATTTACGAAAAATGGCGAATAACAAACGGTTATCGGAATGGAAAGACAGTACGGAAGAAAGGGAAACGTTATCGAGGAGAGGATAACGAGCGGGAAAAATGAAATTCCGTAGGGGAACGAGGCATGGCGAGGCGGTAACAAAACGGAAGAAAGGGAAACGTTATCGAGGAGAGGTTAACGAGCGGGAAAAATGAAATTCCCATAACAAAAGCAAATAAAAAGAAAAGAAAATGGCGAAAAAATAAAATTTAATAAAAATGGCGAATAATAAACGGTTATCGGAATGGAAAAACAAAACGGAAGAAAGGGAAACGTTATCGAGGAGAGGTTAACGAGCGGGAAAAATGAAATTCCTATAACAAAAGCAAATAAAAAAAAAAGAAAATGGCGAAAAAGTAAAATTTAATAAAAATGGTGAATAATAAACGGTTATAGGAATGGAAAAACAGGACGGAAGAAAGGGAAACGTTATCGAGAAGAGGTTAACGAGCGGGAAAAATGAAATTCCCATAACAAAAGCAAACAAAAAAAAAGAAAATGGCGGAAAAATAAAATTTACGAAAAATGGCGAATAACAAACGGTTATCGGAATGGAAAGACAGTACGGAAGAAAGGGAAACGTTATCGAGGAGAGGATAACGAGCGGGAAAAATGAAATTCCGTAGGGGAACGAGGCATGGCGAGGCGGGAATCGCGAGCGAGCGTTTCGCGGCGCGGTATCGGGGCAAGAAACGTATCTTTGCACGGTGTCGCGCCTTAATAAGCCGTAAAGTACCGCGGAAAGTGTCTGCGCGCGGACAGTAGCCTGTTCGCCCGTTCGGAAAAATCGAATTGCCCTGTGCGCGCGAGCGTGCGCGAGCGGGAGCGAGAGAGAAGGCGGCACGGAGCGCGAGCACGTTGAAACGCCGAGCGCTATCGGCCTCGTGTATCAGCGTCGACAATTAACAATTATTGCGCACACCTACCCGCGAGCACACTCGCGGATAAGTCACGTTGCTGCGTAGAATTTATTATTAGGACACCGTGCTGCGCGCGCGCGCGCACGCGATTACAGCGCCACGCACGCGCGGTGTGCCCTGCAAGGACGTTCGCCATTGCCGCGCGCTCCTGCTACGCGGTTTTGCTCTTCTTGGCATCCGTGTTCCACCGTTTTATACCTTCCATCGGATGGAAATTGTCGCTTTTCGAAATTCGCTGGGCGTTTTACGATTGTCGTCGTCTCCACCTGGGCTCGGACAATTTATTCCTCCGCCAGAGACGATCGGGTGTCGAAGATTCAAGCCTGACACGGAATCCATAAATTTTACTCCCATTTACCGGGATTCTTTCGGACTTGACAGTGTACACTTTTAATTTAGCTCTTATGCAAATTCCTCGGCGAATTTCGAGTTTCAGTTGGGGCAAATTTATCTTCCATGTTGAATTTTTTTCCCTCGCCCGAGCGTAATTTAAACTTGGCCAAAAGTCGCATTTCGAATGTAAATTTCGCGAATTACCCGGTTCCAATTTAAATTTCGCGTCAAATTATCCCCGGACCCGTACTTTGTATCGAATTTATTCGATATTATATAACACGGACAGCGACGTAGAATTTTCGCGTTTACCCAGGTCTCGGATCATTCGGCGAAATAATAAATATCGGAAATAAATTCGCGTTATCGTTCACGGTCCATCGGCCGTCCCTTAATAATTATCCTATCCCGCAGAGACAAAACCCCATTCGTTAACCGCATTTCCAACCGGACGGTAATTTGCGAGCGCGATGAAAATCGCCGGGCAATTTCCACTGCATCGCACCTGAACCGTGCACAGTACACGCGTGAGAGCGCGGAATAAATAATCCACGCGTGGCTTGCTCCACGCGTTACGCCCGTGCGCGAATTATTCCGAAAGCCAGTCGAACTCAAAACGCAATTAAGATCCCGATCGGCTAATTTGTAACGTTTCCATATCGCGCTCGGATCTCCATATATCCTCGGCTGAACGCGAACCGCCGCTAAACGGGCAGAACAATGTTTTACCCGGTATATTTAGAAATGACGTTCCTCCTCGGCGTGTCGGGCCTGACGCGTAATAGAACACGCGCCAGGGCCGACCAAGCGTGACACAATGAGCGAACCGAAAACGAAAAAAAGCAGCGAAAAAGGAGGAAAGAAAAGGGGAGAGAAAAAAGGAGAAAATGGGAATAGGAAGGGAAAAATGGTGGGGACGCAATTAGGGAAATGGCGGCAACGTGACGCCGTTGGAAGAACGCTGGTGGACCGACGACAACGCTTTGGAAACGGCCTGTACGCGCGAGCACACGCGTATACATCACGGAATATCGCGAACCAATAACCATTAAACGCGCGCACCGGCCGCCGCACACCTTGCTCTTTTGCAATAAATAAAAATCAACTGCAATTAATCGGTCGTAAGATATGCACGTCGAGACCTTGGGGGCCTCGAAAACAAGCGTGTCTCTTTCTCTCCCCGCCTTTCCCTCCCCCTCTGTCTCCTGTCTCCCTCGGTCTCTCCTCGCCGCTTATTTTTCGCTCTCTCGATTATTATAAATCGGAATATTTTGCCGAGCCGAGATTGCGCAGAATCCTTTCTTCTCTCGGCCGTTCCTCCATTTTTCTTTCGCGCCTTTTCCAATCCCCTGACGAGGCCGCGTCGCTTCCTCGCGGAGGAGACGCCGAGGAATCCGCAGGAATATTCTCTACCCCGGATGCTGCGGGGGGAAAGGAGCGGGAATGCCTCTTCGAAAATTCGAGCTTCCTTTCACTTTAACCTGCCGTCTTGGATTCTGCGCCGCCGACACGAGAGAGGAGCGGAGATCGCCTCTCTGGCGATGCGGAAGATTCCTCCACGTCGCTTCTTCCACCATCCAATCGTGCATTTGTAACGCGTCCGTAGCACGGATCTATATTGGGAATTGAAATCGATCGATGAAAATAGGTAGCTATAGATCGGGATGAAAATGGACACAGACGAGTCAATGATAGTTGCGAGGAAAATGTCTGACAGTGAGCAGTTTGAGTAATTTGACAGCTAATTGGTAACTAGGTACCTAGCTAAATACCTGGAATTTTTCTCGCACGAAATCGATGGCTTTCCTACGATATTATAGAACAGAAAGAAATCGCGAATAAATTAACATACGTAAGATAATTGTTGCACTATTTCAATTATGGTTGCGATATTCTTACTTTAAACTCCGCAAATAGACTACTAATTTTCATACTATAATTCCGCACCACGCAAACATTATCAGCTTGCGAGAACCGTCGAGTGCACAGGGTTAAGTCGCTACTCGTTCCTCTTTTTCATAAACCCTAGAAAACGAGGATGATTACCGAACGACTGCAACATTCTCCGCGTTATACGTCGATCCGTTCCTCTCTCTGCTAGCCTCGCGAAGCAGCGTCGCGAAAAATCCGGTCTTTAGGGGCCTTTAGAGGTCTTCGCGATGCGCGTTCATCCCCTAATCGACGAGCAGGCGGTAATCAGATTAAAGTCGGTAAAACCTC